ATATTCTCTACTATTTAGAAAAACATGAAAAGATTCTAAAATCAGAATGAATAAATTAATCCTAACTGATATTGAATATTATAGATTTTTCTTATTCAAGTTTATTATTACTTTATAGACAAATAGTTATCCAGGCCAATCTACTACTCATGATTATATAAGTAACTGGTATTTTTGTCAATATTTACAATGCTGTTATATAATCATTTATATAATATAAATCCTTTTCTTAAAATCTAACTAATTATACCCCTTTATTGAATGTTCTTCTTTTAATTTTATCAAAGGTATTAATAGCTAATCTATTGGTAAGCTATTATTTTTTACAATTAGTATATGCAATATCAAATACTCTATAATATTCATGAATTAATCAAAAACAGATATTGCTTGCATTAATATTTATTAAATTATAAACTGACACATTATTAAAAATAATAGGTATTAGTGTACAATTTAAAACTTATTTACAAATATAAGTAGCTATATGTTTAGCGATAGATAAGGTACAGTATCTGATCTTTTTTTCTCATATATATTATGATAATCATCCAGATTATAAATATACAAATTATTACTCTAATTGTAATAAATTTTAATTAATAATAATTTTTTTAAACAAAAAATTTTAATTTTATTTATATGTTTAAAAAGAAAATTTCTAATATTTAATGAATATTCTTTTGTGAGTTTATATTTAAAATTATTAATTATTGTATTGATTGCAACATATGTGCTTCTGATACTAACAAATATAACTTAACTTTTAACTTAAAATTATTAATAAACTTGTTTTGCATTTTAGCCATAATATAGCATAAACTTATAATTGTCTTTTCTGCTTCAATTTTATTATATGCAGATTAGTTATCAGAAATTAATGCTTTTATTAATTTATTAAAAAGATCTTATAAATGCAGATCTGCTATAATGCATAGCTTTTTATGAAAAATGATATTTAAGTTACAGATTCACAATCATCTGAATTTATCAAAATAGATAATTAAAGTTATTCTAAAAGTAAAATTATTGATCTATATACTTATTGAATAAATAAAAAAATATAAGAATTAAAAAAAATTTTTGAATATAATTACAAAAGAGCAATTTTTGAATATCTTATGTTATTAAATGATAATAATAGATATGAAAAATTAATATTAGTTTAGAAATTGCTTAAAAGGTTTTTATTGATAGTGGTACATAGAAAGCAAAAAAATTCAGCATTTTACAAGATATTAGTTATTTAATAATAAGCTTCTAATATTAAGATGTAAAAAATATCAGAAAACTATTAGAATTATAGATAATAAAGATATTGTTAAGAAGTATTATAACTGAATTAGAAATTAAAATTTTACTATCACATCAGCTATATTTAAATAATTTATTGAGTAAAAATTACTTTCTAATATTAGAATAATGAAAAAAAATCTATTAGTTTAATGATTGCAATAAGATAACTCAAGATTCTTAGATATTTATTTCAACGGCATCATTAAGATATATATTATAATAGGCATGTAAGACCTGATATTTTACAATATAGAAAGGAATTTTTAGAAAAAATTTTTGGATATGAAAAATACATGTCAAAATATGATGGTGAATTTATGAATTGAATATGCTCTAATTTATCTGAAGGAAAAAAAGAAAAAGTTCTTATAGTTTATGATAAAAGATATTTTATTTAAATAATAATAAATATAGAGTATAAACTAAAGATAAAAAGATCTTATTATGAAAAAAAAGAAACAGAAAATCAATAATGATTAGTGAATTTCTAATTGAAATTAACAGATATTTACACTTACAGCAATAAGATATAGAAAAATATCCTAATATATTTGAGAAAGTATGATATTACCTAAAATCTAGTGTAAACCAAGATGATTACTGGACTGTAGATTATCTTCTTGAACAAATTAAAAACAAGATGATTCCTATCTTTAAAATATTATATTCAAATTGTGTGATTATATTTGCTTTCAATAATAGTAATAATTATACTATATTTAGTAAAGATATCTTAATTGCAAATAGAATAAATTTGAGCCTAGGTAGAAATCAACTAATAATGTGAAATACCTATTTTAAACTAGAAAATCAGTTACAGTTAATGATATTTTTAGCAATATATTCTAATAAAAAATTATAAAACAAAGCTTAAAGGAATTAAGTAAGTATTAATAAAATAAGAAAAATAGCTATCTGAAGGATTAGTATTGAAATGCAAAAAATGCAAAGAAAATTACAAAATGCTTTACAAGTTTCCTGTTATGCACGTTAAGTAATATTATTAGAACCTGACTTTCTTGCTTAAAAAAGTGCAATTAAAAAATTAATCAAAAATGTTAGAAATAAATACATATTTTTTCAAAATTTACCTAAAAGTTTGGAATCAATACTTTTGAAAGTTTTCACAAAAATGTTAGTATTATATAAACCTTTATAGAAAAGATTATAGTAGAAGATTGATAGAGTATGCTATAAAGAAATAAAATTTTATCAAAGAATTCTGGATAGTATTTTTGAAAAGTTGAATAAATTAGATAATACACAAATCAAACTTTGAAAAAATCAGGCTAATTTGTGAAATGTATGTAACATATTTTGTAAATAAAAAATATTTGAAAATTATGGCATATAAGATTGGCTAATAAAATCATATCACATGATAAAATTACATGATTTTTGTTACTTAAAAATTTCAAACTGATTTACATTTTAGATGTTTTTAGATGTTATGCATCATATTATTATAGTATAATACCTTTTTCTCTAGATCAAAATACTTTCTATAGTATAGTAACTTTTAATTTTATAAATTTGTAAAGTACCTGAATACTTAAGTTAACAGTTTATAATTTATAAATTTAGTATATCTTAATAGTATATTATATCTTTTTAATAAAAACATATATAAGATAATTAAAAAGACTCTTAATTTAAATCAACTTAATTGACTTGAAAAAGTTATTGTGAAAAAAAATTAAAAATCAACCTTTAAATTTATATAAGATATTAAACAATTTACTGGGAATGTATATATTCAATATTATTATAAAATATACAATATTACTTAATAAATATTAATATTAATATATTTTTATATTATTATTTATTTTTTTATAAATGGTTTATTTAATTTAAGCTTCAATGAAAGTTAAATATAAAGGCTTCAATTTAAAAAAAACTTTTATTAATATCATATTATATTTTAAATTGACTACTTAAAATGCATCATATAACTTATATACTAACTAATCAAATTTGAAAATATTTTAAAATATATCAGATATATAATATTTATATTTCTATTAATTTTCTTTTAACTTGATATCAGAAATTTTTTCATGGTTGTTATTTCTCGCCCATATTGGTTTTGAAAAAAGGTGAAAAAGAAGTTTTTTGTTATTATTATAATAAACTTTTTTGTATCAAATGTATTTCTAAAATTTAACAGTAAAAAAATTTTTTAAATTTTCTCTGTTTTGATTGGTCGATCCAACTTCGGTTAATTATTAACGGTTTAAAAAACTGCAGATTTACGAAAACATTTACTACTCATGATCAAAATTATCATAGTGCTTTTATGTGCTAAAGTGGTAAAACACTTTTTTTAAAAAAAGGTTGTTTTACTTTTTTCATTAGCCTTACTTGAGAATTGAAAAAAACGGTGTTGGATCAGTTTCTACTATTTATAGCTGCAAATGACGCGGTAATACATTCTTTGCTTAATACTTATAACGTACATTTTGAATTTGTTTACAATCTTACTTCAGCAACAAACGTTAAGTTCAATTGTAATTTATTTTAATTTAATCCATTTATAATAAAATAATCCTTAGATAAGTGAATTTCTACGAAGATTTGGTATTTCTAATTCTTCAACTTCCAATCGTTGTTGTTAAGGTTGGAGGAAATGCTGAGATAACTAATCAAAAGATTCATTATCATAATTTCACTCGATTCACTTTATTTAGTATCGAAGTAAGCAATGATAAATTTAGCAAAGACCAAAAAAATCTGTTGGTAGAAATCCTTGGACTTTAGAAGATGACTAAAGGTTGACTATGCAATTTTGGTAAATATACAAGACGTGCCTTGGTCCAAAATCGCTCGTAAAATTTTCCCAATCGTGATAGATCAGGTTGTTACAGCAGATGGAATTTAATCAAGAAGAATATATCAGGATGGAAGCGATTAAGTATATTTTTATTATTATTTGTATGAATATATAACATTCCCAATATTAAATTACGATCAGAATACAATTCTCTTTGAAATTATTTAATTTTTATTGCTGAAAGCATGCTTTGATCCAACCTTTTAGTTCACCTTATAACCTAAAAATGCATTTCAATTTCAAAAAAACGCACATGGTGGATTATATCTCGAAGTTTTTTTTTTTGAAAAAAATTTAATTATTAAATTTTGACCTTTTTCTTGATAAAATAATATATTTACTCCGGATAACTGTCCAGTCAAATGATTGTCCATATTATCACTGTGATTATCAATGTGATAAAACCGCGTAATTCAAAAAATAAAAAATATTATTCTTTTATTATATTTGAAGTTTAAATTTGTTACTTTTTTTCAAAGAAGACGAAACGATGATGTATAATAATCACGCTAATTTTAAATTAATTTACCTAAAACTTTTTGGGCTTAAACAATGATCATCATATTATTTCAAAAATTGGTAGAAACCAATTAATGAATCGAACTTTACATGAACAATAATATATACTCCATTAATACAGTAATAAAGATAGGTTATTGATAAAGTTGGTTGTTGAATGCGTATGGTACAAGTTCAAATTAAAAACACGTGATAATTTATTTCTGTTTACACAACGTGAATGTCATGCTATAAAAGTAAATCCGGATCGATATTTACATTTTCACATTCATATTTTTTTTTTTTTTCATTTTCGACTTTATTTTTAATTTTTTAATTTTTTTTTTTCTTTTTTTTTAAAATAATAAAACGCATGATCTTTGATTTTTCGTCGTCTTCTTCCTCTTCCTCCGTTTTGAACTCGACACCAAAACAAGATTGCAACTTTCTCGTTGCAAGGAAAAGGAATATATTTTCTTTTTCTTCAGCAGGAAGTAGCAGCACTAGTGAGAGTGAAGTTGAGTACAATGTTGAAGCAATTGGAGGAGCAAGAACAGAACTTGGTTATAAATTATCCAATGCATCCCCACCACCAATTCCAGTCGCTGCTAGTACATTGGAACGTGTAATTATATTAGCTACAGCATTATATGCCAGTTTAAAATTGGTCAGTATAATGGCAGCTAATGAGGTTGGACGCATTGAAGGTCTAGGTAGCGACTTTAATAATTTAGCATAGAATTGATTGATTTAATTAATTAATTGATTAATTATGAAATGTAATTAAAAATTATTTTTAATAAAAATAAATTTTTTATTATTAAATTAACATATATCTTAGATTTGATGTTACTTTCTATATGGACTTGGTTTGTATACTCATTCGGTTTCCCGTTTTCGAATAATGAGGAGAAACTCTTTCATAGATTATGGGGAACTGATGAGAAATATTATAGGTCTGATTTAATTATTCAATTTTGTTTTAAAATTTAAAATTAAAGAATATGAATTAAAGAACATGAATTATAAAATAAAATACAGAAATGATGTTGATGATGGCGCATTTTACGGTACATTGTTGATTCCAATAGTAGCTGCTGCAAAAATAATAGATGGTCATCGTTCATCATCATCACCTGAATATGATGAATCTTCTATGGGTATGCAAGATAGTCTTATTTTTTGTGAGAAATTAGAGTTTTTTTGTCTCCCTGTTGAATGTTAAGTTATTTACATCAAAAAAAAAATATTTTTTTTAAAAAATAAAAATAAAATAAAATCCAATGTAGATATTATTCAGGTCAATTTTGAACTCTGTTTCATTATGGGATGTGGCCTTTTACTTCATATGTTCATGTCCAAGCAAATAAACGCGACCAACTTGGGATCAATTTGGACAATGATCATAATTACAATTCTATCGATACTATTTGCCGCTTTTATGGCAGCTATGGGACTTTTACCTCTTTTTCAAAGTAAGTCTTTTAATTTTATGAAATTTATTAATGAATTAATGATAATGATATTAACAAAGTAAATAATAAATATTTTAGGATTACCTTGGCAACATATTATATTTTCACAATTTTTCTATCAAATTTCAATGTATGCCATTGCAAAATCAATGAAAAAAAGTTTTACATTTGGTGAATTGGCGGTTGTTTCACAGGCTTTAACGTTACTTGCAGTTGAAGCTTGGCTAATAACGATGAATAAGGTATTTCAGATATTTTTCTTATAATTTTTTTATGTTTTACAGCATCAATGGCTTTTTTTTTTTACTTATATATATATGTATATATTTCCTAATATGAATGAATTGATGATAGTTTGAATTACTTAAACTATTTCCTTTACAAAATCATATACCAAGTAATATAGTCATCTTTCAAATTGCTCTTATTCTTGGTATATTATTGATAGGAATAGTTTTATCACCGTTTCTTATACGTTCAAGACAGCTAGCACAACAACCGACTTGGAAAAATAAGCACACACGTGGCCTTAATAATAGAAAGAAAAAAGTTGCCTTTATTATTTATTTTATTACTGTACTTATGATCGGTTCAATTGGACTTTGGTTGCGACCTTTTTTGAATATAGATCCTTATACATGGTAAGAATAAATAATCACATTATTTAAATACTTTGATTGTAATTATATTATTAAAAAAAAAATTTTTTTTTTTTTTATGTTTAGGACGCTTGGATTTGTTATAGAGAAAAAAGCACGAATATTTTTGTGTATATATTGGATAGGGTTAATTGTACTATCCCTTGGTTTATTTATTCAATTGTCTCAAGCACGTAAAATTTATTCTTTAAATACAAAACGAAAATATTTCCACTTTCTAGCATTAATCATGTTTATGCCAGGATATCTATTCGAGGTTAGCTTTTAATTTCAATTTTTTTTTTTTCCAAATGATAATTTTATTAGATTTTATATTAATTTCCATGAATTACGAATAGTCAATATTTATGCATTTAGCATTTAGTGTAGCCTTTGCTGTGTTAATTTATTTGGAATATTTGAGATATTTCGCCGTCTTTCCGTTAGGAAAACAACTTCATGTATTTCTCAGCGAATTTTTAGATTCTCGTGACTCGGGGCCATGTATTTTAAGTCATATATATTTACTCGTTGGGTGTGCTGGTTGCATTTGGTTGAATGGGTAAGTTATTTTTGATATGTAATGTCAATTAATATCTAAATAATGCATTTAAGTGATGTAATGGCTCTGATTTTCTAATCTTTAAAGAAATCTGTCTACTATTTTATATATTAAAGAACTTCAACATTAGCAAATATTTCTGGCATCTTTACTTTGGGACTTGGTGATGCAATGGTAAGTATACGAAATCAATTCATAATCATTTGTAGATAAAAGGATTTCAATTATAATAATTATTATGATATAGGCTTCTATAATTGGAAGAAAATATGGAAGGCATAGATGGCCTGGATCTTTTAAAACTATCGAAGGATCAATCGCATTTGTTGTCTTTATAATGATCGGGGCAGCTATATTAAATCTAACAGCATCATCCAATATATGGGCGGATTCTACACAAGTAAAGTATTTAATTCTGTTTAAAATTGCTTATTTTATTTATTTTATTTGAAGTTTATTTTTTAATTTATTTGGTATACAGTGGTTTAGTTATATTCTGGTGGTTTCAGTAATTGGTAAGTTTATCATTATTATTCGTATTCGATATAATCTATCATTTTATAACCTAATAATATATTATGTTCTCATTTAATATTAGCTCTCTTAGAGGCAGTAACTTATCAAAATGATAATCTCATACTTCCATTGTTTATGTGGTCTTTGGTTAATCTTAAAATATAAAATTATCAGAATATAAAAAAAAAAAAAACTTTTTGGAACGCTATATTAATTTATTACAATCGAAAAAAAAATCAAACATTGTAAATTACATTTATAAGATATATATTTATTTATAGGTATAGGTTTTACTTATATATATATATAGCTTCTTTTTTTTTTACAAAAATAAATAAATAAATGAAGTTGTAAAATAGTTTGCCTTTGTATAAGTTTGAAAATTTTTTTAATTAATATATAAATTAAATATTTCAAAGTTAAAAAGTTTGATATTGAAAAACATTGAATTATTTTGTATAATGAAAAAGAGTATAGTTTAAATCATCAGGATTTGTTAACCGCTAGTATTACAAAAAGGAATCTTTCATATTACGTAAATAAAAATATTTAACATAGCCATTTGATTGTCAATTATGATAATTTTCATGATTCACAATATAACATGCAATGATGTGCCAACAATTCAATAAACCTTCATATCACAATATTTTTGTGATTATAATTTAAGTTTTGGAAATAAGATTCCGTTATCAACACCTCGATAAAATGATACTTTATCACGATTATTTTTTATATTCCATCCTTTACCAAATTTAGCATATTCCCAAGTTCTTTGTTCTTTTTGTATTCCAAGGTTATTCAATAATTCGGTCATTTTTGTTGGCATAATTGGTTGTAATAAAATTCCTGAAATTCTTGCTGTTTCTGCGGCATAAAATAATACATTATTAAAGGTTTCTTTTTGATCCGAATCATTTTTCAATTTCCAAGGTTCATTATCCGTAAAATGTTTGTTAGCCTATTGAAAATATTTATGTCAATTAAAGTAGATCTATAAATAAAGCGAATTTTTTGATTTGTTGACATCAACTTACTTCTGCAACGGTATCAAAAATGAGGGATAAACCCTTTCCAAATTCCATATCCAGAAAATGTTTGTCTACGAGATCTGTAGGGAATAATCATAAATACCAATTCATTCATATTAAAATTTTCATGTAACAAAGAAAATCATATTACCTGAAAGGTTTTGTAATTTATTATATAAACTAGAGTCCTTCTCAGTTACTCCATTAGAAAATTTAATTGGCGATGGGACAACCAGTGAAGGATTTAGAGCAGGAGAAATACTACGTGACACGAGATTTCCGAGCTGCCCTGCCAAGTCTTTTCGGTGTCGTTCTTTTACATTATCGTCCGAATAATCTGCAAATATTACAAATAAATCAATATAAAGACATTGTAATAACAAATTAATTTATACCAAGAATTCTTTACCTCCGTCATCACTAATACCACCATCTCTCATCAAATAATAACGAATTGTATCAACTCCATAATCATTCATTGCTTTAATTGGATCCACAACATTACCACGACTTTTTGACATTTTTTGTTTTTTCATTGTCCAATGTGAATGAGCTAAAATCTTTTTGGGAAGTGGTAAATCAGCTGCCATTAAAAATGCAGGCCAAAATACCGCATGAAACCTCAAGATATCTTTTCCTACAACGTGAATATCAGCGGGCCATCCGTTCATATCTTCATGTGACCAAGGGAATCCATTCACCGTAAGATAATTAATCAAAGCATCTAGCCAAACGTAAACTGTCTGTTCTGAATCTCCTGGAACATCAACTCCCCAATCTAGTCTAGAATGTGGTCTAGATATCGATATATCAGCTAATCCACCATCAATCCAAGACTTAGCCTCATTAAATCTATTAGAAGGAACAATAACTAAAATAAAATAAAAATAATAATCATATATAATTTATATAAGTGTACGAAATAATTATCACGAATATAAGTTAGGAAAATGTAAATACAAGCAAAGAATTACCTTAGAATTTACCTTGAGGATCTGCATCCAACCATCTTTTTAGCCTATCTTGAAATTCCGATAGGCGAAACTTATAATTTTCTTCAGTTGTCCATTCTACCGGTTGACCAGATTCAATTGCAATCTAAACATAAATTATCTATTAGTAACGCAACTTTTTGACATATCTAAGTCAATAAAAACAATAAGCTACCATGGACTTTTCTTCTGAATTGGGATTTTGAACCTCCTGAACTTGAGAAGTGCTATAAAAGGCTTCATCAGATACTGAGTACCAACCTTCATGCTCGCCTTTATAGATGAATCCGTTATTCATGAGACGCAACTATTAGCGAATGATGGTTAGATCTCAAATTATTCATTTATTCTAAATGACAAATAACGTAAATATTTCGTTACCCAAAAATATTTCACGGCATCCTTATGCCTTTGTTCTGTAGTACGTATAAAATTAGTATAACCGATGTTTGCATTGTCAAAAAGTTCCTATTGATGAATATCTATTAAATGTAAAAACTTTTTAATGATATTAATAACGTAAAATATTTAATATTGATAAATACCTTAAATTTATTAGAAACATTATCGCAGAATTCTTGCGGATTGATATTGTTTTTTGCTGCAGCTTGTTTAATCTAACATTGATACCATTAACAAAGAGACTTTTTTTTTTTTTTAAAAAAAAAAAGTATTAATTGTTTAAATAATTACTTTCAAACCATGTTCATCAGTTCCCGTGCTAAAAATTACTTTATGACCTTTCAATTCATAATATCGTTTTAGACTATCAGCCATTACCGCTGAATATAAATGTCCTATATGTGGTACTTTTTTAAAAAAACGAAACGTTAAATTGATATAGTAAAATAGTCAAATATTTCATAATTGCAGAAAATTAACTTACTTGCATTAACATAAAAAATTGGAGTTGTAATATAAATTGGCTTCTTGGTAATTGTGACATATTGTCGATAATAAATGTGTCGTAAATTCGTAAATTTTCGCATATAAATTGAATTAATTTTTTGATATTTCATTAAGTCTGAGGTGTTAGAAAATCTCTTAAAAAGAAATTGTGGCATCTTTTGTCAGTAGAAAGTGTAATAGATTATCAAAAAAATTTTTTTGACATTTCTGCTTAGCCAATCAGAATGTGATATAAATTTGCCGATCATTTTACAATAGTGCTTTTATTTTAAAATTTAGAATTAAAATATCTCATCTCATTATTCTCCTATAAACTGTTGGAATAATAATAATATATGGATAATGCAATAAAATGATAAATTATACTTTGGTTGCAAAAGAAAACATATAATAAAAAAGAAATTATATACATATATGAAAAGAAAATAATAATAATAATTTTGTTCTAGAATTATAAAAATAATGTTATTCTGAATCAAATGATGTTTTAGGATTAAAAATAATGAATATTAAAGGGATAACATAGATTGATTAATGTTTCTGTAAAATTATAAAAAGGTAATTAGAAGCAATTCTGAAACAAAAGAATTAATTGCACACAAAATACTATACCCTTTTAATGCCATTATTGTTAGCATTATCGTAAAATTTTAATCTATCATTAAAATACTTTTCGAGTCCATTTGCACATTTGACGTATATTGTCCCTTCTGCGTTATAAATGCGACAATTACTGAAAATTATCCGCACGTCCGTGATATATTCTTCAAGCGTTTTATAACAGTTATTCTCAACTTTGGATTCAATTGTCATCAAGTCTAACAATCGAAAATTAGAGTTAACATAAAAGAATAATAATATAACATATATTTATATATACCCATCGGAGTCTTGATAATTTTATAATAATCCGGAACTTCTTCTCCATTCACCGGATTTCTAAATGGCCACGATTTTGCATGCTTTTTCAACTCCGCTGTAATGCTTGCCATTATGCTGCGATTCGTTTTCTTGTTGCCGTGTGCACTATATTATGAATTCAAGATATATTATTTAATTACCAATCAAATATACAAAGAAAAGGTTCAATCCAAAACTTTACCGTGCTTCCATTTCCGGAGTCCATCCGGATTCTTTGATACCTTGAATTGACATAGGATCAACTGACTTAGCTATATTCTTATGGAATATTTGAATCCCTTTGTATGTAGTTGCTTGTTTACGACGTTCGGTAAGTTTAATTTGAATGGCCTGTAACAATATTTATTATATTAGAAGGAATGAATAAATTCAAATAAACCTCTGGAAATAAATTAAATAAGTACTCTCTTTTGCCTTGCAAGTATCTCTTGAAGACGAGTATATTGCACCTTCTGAATCATTTTGCACTATTGTATAATCGAAGGCAATGTAAAAATAAATTTAATATGAAAATAAGCAAAAAAAAAGCCAGTTCAAAACTAACCTGCATAATCGTGGCTTCATCATAATCTTTAATGAAATGTACCCACAAACTGCGTTCGAGGGTAATGTCTGTTGTAAAGCCCTGAAACGGAACCCATAATTAGTAATTTAATTATAAAATGAAATAGCTTAATTATTTGAATTTCTCACGTTTTTCTTAAAAAATCCCATTGCATGGTTGTCAGCATACGTCATGAGATATTTTATACCTTCTTTATCTTTGAGGTGATCCTTAAGGTGGTTCATCATATGTGAACCGTATCCCTAAGTTAGGGAAAAAATTATTAATTCTTTCTAATTCTTTTAAGGAATTCAAATTAATTAAGATAGGAACATACCTTGGCTTGTTCGTCCGAATTTACAACACAAAAAACGATCTCAGCTAGTTGATTTTCTGAGAACAGGCGGAATGTAATCCCACCGACAACACGTTTTCTTTCCTTAACAATTGCCATCGATTGATGTTTCCTATTAAAAATAAGAGATAAGTTATAGCTTGGGCATAATATTTTAAAGAAGATTTATTTTAGAACAATAAGTACCTATCATAAACAAGACGCGTTATATATTCGGCTGGCATATTAGGTAATTGTGTGCGAATGCAGTTTTTTAAACTTGTTAAAAGTATTAAGTTATCCATTGTGTTATCATTTGTAATGACCTTCATTTCAATTATTCCTTCTCTTTCTTCGGCAACGGCAGGCTTTTCGGGTATTGATAGCGGTTCCTCCTCGAGTTTTATCTTGCGAGGATTTGGTGCTGAATCTTCACCATCTTCCAACTTACGTTTGGAAGGATTAATGAACGCTGCATCATTTCCTGAGGTAAGTATCCTATAATTATTTAAAATAAAATAAAAATAAAAATAATAATTTTTTAAAGCATCATTTTTTTACGAATTAAAATTAAATACCTCCGTAATTTTCGGACATCTTCGTCTTCGTATTCAAAGTCCAAGAGCTTTCCTTTGGCTTCTAATAACTTATCTATCCTCATGGCGATTTCTAATCGCTCATTGAATTCTTCCGGAGTACAATTGGGGTCTCCATGATTGCTAACTCTGTGATCACATGCACACATATCTGCACGACCAGTATTATCAGTCTTTGGTTTCCACCCAGAACAAGAGCATCGCATCGTCATGCCTCCGGAACTAGATACGTCAGCAGTACACGGGATATTCCTGCCAATCTTTAAGAGCTTTTCATGTATTGAAAGTGATTGGATTGGCTTAGACGCAGGAGGGTATGGGGACATTATGTGATCTATTATAATAATTATAATATTATTATTATAAAGATTTGAATGTACATTAAAAGAAATAACAACGCGGAAAGATCAAAATTCACTTTTTGTAGTTAATTCAGATGCAATCAGATGGCGTATGCGCTTTTTAAGTATGGAGTTTTTAATAACGACAATACCAACAGAAACTAATTTTATGTATTAGTTTGAAATTTCCTATAAGGCTATTTGTAATTACGTGACATTTGGTGTGAAAACGAAGAAAAGCTTCTTGTTAGATCAAATTTCGTAGAAAGTTTCACTCAATATATTATGTGTAAGTAGGAGAAGTTCAATGATGCAATTAAACATATAGTGAATCGGAATTAAAAAAACTTTCTTTAAATTTACAGCCTTGTGTAACACATGCTCAACAGATACTCTTACCCATCGTTTGGGTTATAAGTATGGTCGTACCTACAAAATACACATTTCTCGATTAGGATCTGATTCTCAAATTCAATGATCTAATTATAGTGCCGGCCCGCATTACAAATATGTAACAAATTTTGGATATCCGGCGGCGAAATTTCGCAAAATCTGCCGGCGTTTATTTTAAAATCTGCCCTGCTTTCTGCGGCTTATTGTCATTTCGGCGAAAACAAAAATAAATTTTATTAATTTTATTATCCCAAAAAATTTAATTACCATTAAAATACATCATATTTAATTTTTCAAAGAATCTGAAAGATTTTGACGATTATTATCCAAAATATTATTATAAATTGAGAAACTTCTTTCTATATTATAATTAGATATAAGTAACCAAATATAATTAAGTGCAATTTTTGAAAGAATTGGTAATTTATCTTCAAGATTTATTCAATATTTTTCTAAATCAATTTCTTCAACTAAATTTTCTAATTGCAATCCATAATAAATTACTCATTCATAAAGCAATTTATCAGAAGGATTTGCTAATTCTCTAATAACACTATAATCACGCAAATTTTTCTTTCTAAAGTACTAAGTAATATATACTTAAAATTAAAAATTTAAGCAGTTTGAAAAAAGAGGACGTGTAGAATTTGAAGAAATATGAGAATTAAATTTATTTTGAGCTTCTCTAAAAACTGATCAAAAAATAGAATAAAATTTATATGGACTAAATTATAAGAAGTAATAGTAGCATCAAGTTCTAAACCAAAATTTAAAGAATTACAATTGCTTTCTAAAAATACAATAAGATAATAAAGGTGTCTTTTTACTAAAGAAAATATAGGTTTGTTTTGTATTTGAAAAAAATCTATATCTTATATAAATTGTTTTACATATATAGAAATAAAATGAATAATAATTGAAATAATATTAACATCATGGGAATTAGAAAGGATTTGTAAAATGGTTTGAAGAGTTACATTATTTGGATCATTAATTAATTTATCTTCAAAAAAGGAATTCCAATATGATAAATGTGTTTTAGTATAATCAACTATTTTTTCAGCATAGCAGACTTGCTTATATTACTTTATCAATCATTTATAAATGAATTATCACATTATATAAAATCAGCTAATCTTAAATTAAAAGTTTTAGACAATATAGCATATGATTAGACAAATTCTACAAATCAATAAATTCAATATTTTAAATCATGTAAAATGTAATTTTAAAATAGTAAATCAAAGATTAAACATTATAAATAAGTTAGCTAAGGGTTAAAATAAATAAATAAGTAAATTACATAATAAATTAATTTTTTTAGACTTCTAAAATTTAGATAAAGTCATAAATACGTGATCAAACTATGTTAACCATAATATTTGATATTTTATATTATGTAGAATATAATATAAAAGTATTACAATAAAATTTTAAATAACACAAAAGTTAGCTTTGAGTTAATATTTTGAATATTTCATATATACAGTAAATCATATATTATATTAAATATTAATAATTTAAACTTATAAGATTTAGGCAAAGTCATAAATGTATAGCCAAACTAAATGATCATAATATTTGATATTTTAGATTATATAGAATATAATATAAAGTATTACAATAAAAATTTAAATAACACAAAAGTTAGCTTTAAGCCAAAGTTTTGAATATTTTAAATATAAATCATATTATTATAATTATATTAATTTTGGCAAAATGTTGCTTCTAGTATATCTTATCCAATAATAATTATATTTCAATAAAATTTAATATATTATTTCATTATATTAAATGCAGCTACTTGTAAAAATTTAACATATATTATTATGTAAAATTTCTGATTAGAGTATTTTTATATATAATATAAATGAATAAATTATCGGCAAATTGTTCGGTAAAATATAATAAAATTAAGCATATACATTATGCTATAAGTTCTAACATATATAAATAAGAAAATAAGAAGGAAAATTTTACAAGTAGAAGTTATATCATATAAGCGAAAATGTATTAAATATCCATACCTTCTTATTAGATTACAAATAAAACATTCTTTTATTTTAGCTAAAAATTCTTTTAAAATTTTAAAAGAATCAAATTTTCACCATATTTTACCTATAAAATTTAGTTAATTATATTATTATTTAATATAATAAAATATATAAGAAAAAAATATTTTACTTACTTTACTCTATTAAATTTAATATATATGTACAACAAGGTATATGAATTAATTAAGGTACCGTAGCGGTCATAAGTATCTGACCGCCTGAGATTGTCTAAAATTATTATATAACTACCCCTTAAATTTTCTAGAAATATAATGTAATACAATACATGATCACCTATAAATTTATAAGTATTAATAATACAAAAAAAAAATTTAGATGATCATCAAACTTCCGCTTAAAAAATGGAACTTTCTTTAGAGAAACGATATAAAATTGTCTTTTTACGTGAGCACTCAGCTGGTCTAAAGTTTAGTTTTGGATTTATTGCTAAACAGGTACGTTGTAGTAAGTCTATAGCTATTTATTGGGTTAAAAGATATCATGAAAATCGGGACCTAAGTACTTCAGAAAGACCGGGGCGACCTTGTGTAATATCTGCGAAATAAGATGACAAGATTGTAAAGATGGCAGAGAAAGAACATAATATAATAGCCATTCAAATACAAGAAAAAATGGA